AAAAAAAAAAAAAAAAAGAAGAAGAACCATGACTCGGGGATTTAATATATAAGTATTCCTAATGTGATGTTGAATTTAATTAAGTTCTATAAATATGGACAGTAAAATGTGCAGCAAAACATGCCAAGCATTATTAATTACAAATGATGACAACAAAGTTGTCTGGTTTTCAGAAGGGAAAGTCAATAAATACAATATTTCAGGGTGAAAAGCAAACATCAGGGTTTTGCCAGTGACTTCAGAGGACCTCTTTAAAGGGAATTTTCCCAAGATTTAGGGACATGTAGGCTCTGCCATTTGCAAACATGACTGGGAAAGGGCAAGAAGGTCAGGATTCAGAAGAAAACAGCATTTCCAGACAGTTCTTAAAGAAGAAAGTGGAGTTGCCTCATCTGCCTGTGTTGAGCATCATCTCCCTCACGGGAACGGGAATATTATCCCTGGATTTAAAAAATTGGCCCATAAATTTGCCCAGGACAGGGTTACTTTTGCAAGGTGTACAAATTTCCAGAGGGAGAAACTATAGGAGGAGGAAGGAAGACAAGAAAAGAGTTGGATATTCCAATATTCCATGATTCCCTACACAGGGAATGTCAAGGGTGCAACGCCCTAAGAGCAATGTTTGATTTATGTAACCCCTTCATGACCTTAATTAAGTTCACCAGCAGTTAATTAATATTTCTGAAAAGGATAATATATATATAATTTCAGATTTATTTGCTTCATCCATATGTAAATCCATCAGAATATCACATTTAATTGCTGTTTGCTATTTTCTTTCTTTCCATGAGCTGTTCTATAGGTGTGTTTTTCTCCCTGTTGGAGTCCTGGGTCAGACTGAGTTCTCCTGGTAAATTAAGGACATAAAAGAACAGAGAAATGTGACTTTTTTCTTTTCTCTCTGCACACTCCCTAGACACAAAAACCTGGCTTTTTGACAGCTCAGTTTAGAATTGGAAGAGAAAATAGAATGCAAAATTGGAAGGCAATAAAATGAATAAAAATCTCCAGATGAAAATCGTACTAATACTTACTATTTTGGGAAAAGGCATACTTTCAATATCTGTAAAATTAAAATTGCTTACAAACTCACCTGAAATTGCCAAAATAATGCAGATAATTAGAACAAGAGCTCCTGGCAATGGGCTTTTTACTCTGTCAGATAAGGAGCTGGAATTCTGGCTCCCAAGCCATCCACAAATGGTCCTGTGCAGGGCTAAGGCTTGGACTCTTTGATCCTTGTGAGTCCCTTCCAACTCAGCATATTTTGGGATATTCTGTGAAATATATTTATGAGCTGGACTAAGAACTGTGCAGCTTCTCTTGCCCTGTGAAGAAATTCTACATCACAAAGCAACTCTAAAGCTGGAACTCAAATTTGAGATTTGCTTTCAAACCACAGCCAACTCCTGGGCATTGTGTTTGGATTTTATTATTTTGGGTGAAATCCACCTCCAGGAGCACCAAGATCAGGCCCTCTACTAGTCTGAATTATCATAATAATAAGTGGATGTAATATGATCAGTGCTGGAATTTGATTTATTACATTCAAGAAGGAAATGAAGGGCGAATAACACAGGTTTGTTTATCATGGGGGATTCAAATAAACACTGATAACATCTCTGATCATAATTCATTGAAGTGTCAGAACATACAGGCTGATGAACACTCAACTTTTCCTCCTTGGGGTACAAAATATAAATTAATTATACCTTGCAGGCAGCTTGCAGGGTCTGTGGAGATGAGGAGAATTAGATGCAAAAGACTTACTTGGCTGTTGGCTATTTCCAAGCTATGACAGGGGGATTATTTTTATTACCAATATAACCAAGTAGCCCAGAGTGAAAAGCCCCCAAATGATAATTAAGAAAAATTATCAGGAAAATTGGACCTCCTGGCTTATCTTGTTATCCTGGGCATATTTCTCATGTTATTCCTTCAGAAAGGCATCAAACCCCATCAGCCTAATTCTGAAAAATAGTTAGGCTTGGACTTTTAACACCTTTGGGTAATTCCTAAAGATAGAGAGAAGGATAAACTTTCTTCCAACCAATACCTTGAAATAAATGGGATCAGATTTATGTAATATTACCATGAACTTATCTCGGGAGTTGAATACAATGTAAAGTGAAGGAGAGAGGAACTTTTTGAAGTGAATAATGTCACCAAAGCCTCTGTCTCACAGAACTTCAGGTAGTCATGACAAGCAGAGTAGAAAGATAATACTCAATAAATAGATAGAGAGAAAAAGGACCTGTCAACTGGAAACACCAAAAATGCAACTTGTTAAAACTGTTGAGTTTATTTTCAGAAATGACAGAAATTTTTGCTTTAAACCTGAACCCTTTATTTGTCATTTTAGACTATTTTACTTTTAGCTCAGTGAACCACAGAATCATGGAGAGGTTTGGGTTGGGAGGGAGCTTAAAGATCAACTTGTTCCCCTCCCTGCCATGGGCAGGGACACCTTCCACTAATCCCAGATTGCTCCAACCTGGCCTTGGACACTCCCAGGGATCCAGGGGCAGCCACAGCTTCTCTGGGCAACCTGTGCCAGGGCCTCCCCACCCTCCTAGCCAGGAATTCCTTCCCAGTATCCCATCTAACCCTGCTGGCTTTCAGTTTAAAGCCACCACTCCCTGTCCTGTCACCCCAGGCCCTCGAGCCAAAGTTTAACAAGATGTTTCTACTCACAGTGATGCACCTTCAGAATTAAAGTGTCAGGCCCCATTTCTGCATTTACTCAGACACATGCTCAGGTTTCCTGCATGGAAAAATGAGACCAGTAGGTTAATCCTGGTTGGAAAGCAAAGTCTGTGGATTCCATCAACGGAGACCTACATCAAATTAAATTATATGTATTTTTTTCCCGAATAACTGAAGCTCAACAACATGAGTTTGAAATAACAACAGAGATTAAGCTTTGTAATATGTTAAATAATAATTTTCATATGACACTAGCATTTGTTTTCATTAATAGATAGCACTAGGGAGCTTAAGACTTTGATTCAGGAAAGTATTATATCTTAACCAAGAAGTAGGGAAAAAATTAAACCCTGTGTATGAATTACTCTGTACATGTTTAATTTATCTAAGTCAACAGGCTTTCCTATAATTCTTCACATTTTTTGTCTTTAAACAGACAAAAGTAAAGAAGGAAATCAAGCCAAAATGAGCAGAAATGTTACTTTGTGTGTAATAAAAAGTATGGGATTATGAGGGAGATGCACTTCTGAAATGTAATTAAAGTTTACCCCACTCACCGCTGGAATTCAGGTGCCTATTTAAAATGGAATACTTATGTCTGGATTACAGGGAGCTGTTCCATCTGTAAGAACAAATGCTAATTATGGAGGCATTAACAAAACTGCTACAGAATTGTTATCATTATGAGTTGCTACTATGACTTTCCACTCCTGAATTTTGGAAGAGTAAGAGCAGAATGATGGAGATGTGAAGAACAAACATCCCCCCAGACAAGCCCTGCAATGCTTTGCTGAGGTGTTGGAGGAGCCCAGGGGGGACAGATCCAGTTACAACGTCCCACCTGTGGCATCTGCTTCTGCCCTGCGATGGTTCCACGTGGGTCCTGCTTGTCCTCAGACCTGTCACATCATCCCAGACCTTCCTCCTCCCACTGCAGTGATGCCCTGACAGCCTGTCAGTGTGGGATGCTCTCCCATCTCATCAGAGCAGCAGTGGGTACATGAGGCACCACTATTAAAGAGCACTGCGTGTTCCAGCTGAAACCAGGGCTGGAGATTGAAGTTTAACAATAATCCACTCTGGCACATCCCATATTCCACAGCCAGCTCTGTCTAGTCCAAACAATGAGACAGAAACACGCAATGATAATCTACTCTTGGAGTTTGGCAAAGTCAATTTGGGGCAGTCAGCAGAAAAGGTCAGCTCATTCTTCCCCTCCTCCGACTCCATAACCAGGCTGTGCTTTGAGAGACTCCCGATGATTCAAAGTTGTCTTCAAGTTGTAACCAACAAGTCTCCTCTCTTTTTTTTTCCAGGAACAGAATGTGTGTGCAACTGTGGTGGGTGTCACACAGGGCTGCAGCTGAAGGCAAGACTCTCAAAAGCAGCATTTTGCTGCAATTATGTTATTTGTACCACAAAGAGACGCAGGTTTCCTTGTCACCACTAAGCTTTGCTTATAAAAATTGCCTTTGCACTTATCAGGTAAAATGATACTGTTCTGAACTTCTCGTGAATGTGCATGTGAAATCAGAGTTAAAAACTCAAAATAGTAGAAGAGTGAAAAATAAATTATAAAGAATGTTTTGATGTAAGCACCCTTATTTTGACACAGCAATGGAATATTTACTCACCCAGACCCACACAGACTTTGCTTAACTCGGGTTGGAATGTTGGAGGATCAGCACTGAGCTCTATTTCAGCTTGGAGCACCTCCTAAATTAATGAAATTCCTTTTAATCTGTCAGCTTTGATTTCTGTTAATGGAGCCTGTAAACATGTTTAACTAAATGGTTGAGCACAGGAAACTAAATGTTCTCCAGATACTGGTCTCAAACAGAAGTTTGTAACAGCAGCTGTGTAAAGTTGGGTCCATTGTTGGCCTGGGCAACTTGAGACAAAGTTGAAATTTTCTGTCAGTGGGTACTGAATGAGGCCATCAGGCACAGTCCTGCAAAGAGAGTTTCCTGCTCTTCCATAAAAATTACAAGGGGAAGAAGAAGGTCAAAGTACTCCTGTCATACTTCTCCCCAGTGCAGAAGTAGAGTTCTCTGTTATACTCAGAATGAATTGCACGGAGGAAACAGGTGATTTTTTGGCTCTGTCAACAGAGACACCTCACACATACATTCAGGGAGCTTCCAGGTCTTCTAGACATTTAATCCTTTAAGACAACAATCACAGTTTGAAAGAATCCTTCACAATTCATTTTTGGGTCGTTTGCATGATGAAGTCCCACGAAGAGGTGCAGTAATTCAAGAGGGGGGGTGGGGAGGAGATGGGAGGCTGTGGGTTTAACAGGAAACCTTAAGGCTATCAAAATGCTCTGTGAAATCACCAGGGATGAAATCCATATTTCCCTACTGAGTTAAACACGACCTGACAATGCCAATGAACTTTGAGAGAAATGACAGACAAATTACAGCGTGCGTGTGCTAAGCCATGTTGAAACCTTCATTTCGAAAAGGCATCCTGTCAGGAGCTGTAAATACTGTGGGCTAACACCCAAAAATTTGCTTCCTGCTTCCCATGGAATGCACTTTCTGCTCACAGACTGCTTATGGACCATGCAGATCATTCAGTGGATTGTAAATTAAAGTCATTTTGAGCAGGAAGAAAGTGAGGGATGCCAAGGTGTTTCTGCTCACAATCAGGAAAGGCTTCTTGTTTGAAGATCTCCACTAAAAGACTATCCCTCCCCACACTGTCCTAGGCTATGTATTCCATATATTATATGTCTGAGGATTTTCTTTGTGGGGTTTTAGTTTTTTAGTGAGTTATTGCTTTTAGTGCTTGTTCTCCAAAAGCCATGTGAAGATGAAGGAAGCCTGCAATCAGCAGTTGTACACATATCCATGTATACATCAGATGGAATTTCTTCATGGAAAGGGTTGTTAAAAACTGGAATGGGCTGCCTAGGGAGGTTTGGAGTCCCCATCCCTGGAGGTGTCCAAGGAAGGACTGGCTGTGGCACTCAGTGCTCTGGGCTGGGGGACAAGGTGGGCATCGGCACAGGGTGGACTGGATGATCTTGGAGGTCTTTTCCAACATTAAGGATTCTATGATTCCATATGAAAGACATTAGGATAGGATGCATGATTCCAACAGGATTTGGTTTATACCCTCTCCATCTGAAGCTGCCCCATGGAGGGCTGGGTTACACCACCCCCTTCCACACCTTCTGTTACCACACGGTCGTGAGCTCTCACTGCTGGGAGGAGAAATGAGGAGAGGCACTGAAAACTGAGCCCTAAAAGGCTTTTTAAGCTCTGTATCATCCACTTTCCTGCTTATATCCATCCTCTACTCCCTGCCCCATCGCTGTCCCCATTTGCCACCCTCATTTCAGCACCTCCTGCTGAAACACCCCCATCTTGAGCAGGAACACTTGGAATGCTGCAACTCCCAGCTCTGAGCCAGAGCCACTGAACTCACTTCAGCTAATGCTGCAAAATGAACATTAACAACACTTGCACTTTTATTGGTTTATTTATTCCTTCTTAAAACCGGCTACAAGCACAGCATCTGATCCTGCAATCATTTTTCATGTCTCATAATGTTTTATTCACGTGCTGAGCTCCTGTCAGACCAAATAAGACTATTGCAAAGAACAAATGCCTTTCTGGGTGAACAAAGAGCAGGGACTGGGCTCACAGTGCTCTGGGAAACATTTGGACTGCCTGGTTGACACAGCGACACCAGGATTTGGAGAGGCCACATCAAAAATGGCTTTGTTTTTTTTGGAAAAGTTTCCCACATTGTTTCTCCATGAAAGTGAGAAATCCTGCTGGAAAAAATAACAACCTCCTAAAGTGAACAAGTGAAAGACGATGATTTTCTGCAAGAAAGGGATTTATTTTCAGACCAATTTTTTTTTTTTTTTTTTTTTTTGCTGTTGTTGCTGCGCTTTTGGTAGCGAGAAACCTTTATTTAGTCACCAACCCATTTATCAGGATGTTTCTAAAAAGCTCTGGTTTGGCTTTTTCCCTTGTCTTTCTGCTCCTTTCACCATATGCTGTTCTGACACGCCAATACATCACGGGGCAAAGTTGTCAGATCCTCCCTCTGGAGTTTTTACTAAATACTGCTGAAAACAACTGTACAGCTCTATTGATCTCGCAAAAAATAATTAAAGAAAAGGAAAAAAAAAAAAAGAGTTGCAACCAAGCCAAGCTTCCAGTGAACAAGCCCTGAAAGTATTTCTCTTTGATATTACATTAATCTGGGTTATTAACAGCACTAAGATCCACCTGAGGTCAGTTCAAAGGTTGCCCTGACGGAGGAGAAGTAAAACATCTGCAGGAAACACGTTTCTGTAACATTGTGCTTGACATGGGAATTAATGGGTGCAATTCCACAGCCTGTGTTATGCAGGAGATCAGACAAGATGATCATAGTGGTGCCATCTGGCCTTAAAAAAAATCTATGAATCTACATTTAAATTCCCACTTGACCCCAGGTAACCTCTCTCTGAGCCCATCTGCATGTTGAATATTCCCATTAAAAGGCAGTCGACAGCAAGCCAAGCTTTGCTAACCTCAATCAGCCTTATTTCATGTAGCCACTGACATCATATTTTGGCAATAAAACCCCAAGAAAACCTGATACACACCCAAGCATTTCTGCTTATAAGTGCAAACAACTGAAAAAATAATTCATTAAGTGCCTGGAACCACCAGACCATTTCCTGGAGAACCCCCCTGAGGAGCTGCTGCCACCGAGTTCTGAAGAACAACCTGAACAACCAAGTGGTTGATGTTTGTGTGCAACAAACCCTGGGAAGGAATTTAGTTGCACAGAGAGTGGTCCTTGGGACCACAGACAGCTCAGGGAGGGAATTCCTGTGGGTTTTAAGTGAGATGGGTAAAGAAGAACCCTCAAAAGTACAAATCTTGTGCTTCTAGTTGGAGGGATTTCTTTTTTTCTCTAATAATTGTTCACCCAAGGCCTGGCTTAAAATGAGGCTTTCAAAATCCAGCACAACAGGGCTTTTAAAGAGTCACAGTGGCAGAGCAAGAGGGGAACTCTTTGACAAGGTTTGGCACCTCCCTGCTCAAG